TGGGGGCTTCGTGGGACCGCTCCTAATCCCTCGAAAGACCCCCTGTCCCGGCGGCCGCCGACGGACCCCGGGCCTTCCCACGGCCCTGCGCCTGAGGTCGATGCAGCTTGCGTTCGTTTTACACGAGGGAGACCCCTGAATGTGAGGGGCGAGGGTGGGTCCGCCTTTATCGTGAGCGCTGAGGGCTTGGCGCCTCCTCCGCGGCGTAGGTGAGACTGTCGGGGTACTGAGGTTGGAAGGCTGGTCTTGGGGAGAGGCTCGGGGGTCCCTTTCCCGCCGCGGTGAGCAGCTAGGACCAGAAAGAGGGTCTGGCTGTGATGGAGAGGGCGCCGCTCCTCCCTCAGCCCAGCCCCTTCGGGTGCGGAGGAAAGACCCTCCAGGAGGAGAAGCTGAGGGTGCAGGGAGAGGTGGGGGCAGAGGCGTGAGGCCCGCCCCAACCTGCTGAGACCCCGACCACACCTGGCGGGGGTGAACCCCGACTGGGCTGTGCGGGGCGGGACCCAGCTCACGTTCCCAGAGCTCCTGGAAGACCACCCTTGGCCAGGGGACCCCTGGGGGCCTCTCCGCTCAGGGAGCGCCCCAGATCTGGCCCCAAGAACTGGGTCCCGGGCGCGGGGCGGGCTCCGGCAGCCACGAGGACAAAGCCAGGGTGGGTGGGCGCGGCCGCGAGGGTGCGATGGGGGAGACAAAGCGAGCTGGGAACTGAGGGTGGGGGCTGGCACTCTGAGACGGAAACTCCCGAGGGGGGAGGCGACTGCGCCCGAACGGCCACTAAGCCCCGCCCCCAGCGCCCAGCCCGGCCCGGCGTGCAGGCTGCAGCAAGCCCAGGTGACCAGTATGCCCCCCAGGAGGGGCTCAGGGGCAGTGCCAGAAGATGGGGAGGGTGTGGGGGGCTGGCTGGGCCCGTGTGCCTGTCTGACGTGCTGGGCAGAATTGGCTCTGTGGCTGGGGTATGTGTAAGTGTGTGTGTGCACGTGTATGTGTCACAGTGTGTTTGCATGCATGTGTGATGATATGGGTCAAAGTGTGCAACTAAATGTGTGTGATATGGTTAGTATTCCGCTGTATGCCCATGTATGTCCATGTGAGTGAGGTGTGTGTGTGTGTGTGTGTGTGTGTGTGTGTGAGAGAGAGAGAGAGAGACAGAGACAGAGAAAGAGAGAGACCGACA